TTGCTCAGCCCCTCTTATAGCGTTGCTAGTTGCAGGTGAAGATTGAAGGCCGTTCCTTGTTGGAACATCTATTTACTTGTTAGGATATCATTATATTGCTATGTTATCTTAATGCATCTATATAGTTGATAAAGGGTGGAAGGCTCGGCCTCTCGCCTAGTGTTTTGTTCCATTCTTGCCACCCTAGATTCCGTCATATCGGTGTTATGTTCCCGGATTTTGCGTTCCTTACGCGGTTGGGTTATAATGGGAACCCCTTGATAGTTCGCCTTGATTAAAGCTTTTCCAGCAATGCCCAACCTTGGTTTTACCATTTGCCACCTAGCCTTTTCTTTCCCTTGGGTTCTGCAGACTCAAGGTTCATCATTATTTTACCCCCCAGGCCAGTGCTCCTCTAAGTGTTGGTCCAAACTGTCAGCCGCCGGTGGCTACCAGGGGCAACTCTGGGCTGGCCTACCGGAAGTTTAGACAATCTGAGTGTGCCCTGAGAAAGAGATATGTGCAGCTCCTATCGGGATTTGTCGGCACATTCGGGCGGTGTTGCTGGTCTTGTTTTAACCTGTCGAAGTGTCTTGAATGACCGAGATACCGAGTCTGATCGGAACGTCTTGGGAGGAGGTCTATTCCTTCGTTGACCGTGAGAGCTTGTCATGGGCTAAGTTGGGACTCCCCTGCAGGGATATGAACTTTCGAAAGCCGTGCCCACGGTTATGGGCAGATGGGAATTTGTTAATGTCCTGTTGTAGATAACTTGAACCTTAATTAATTAAAATGAATCAACTGAGTGTGTTACCGTGATGGCCTCTTCTCGGCGGAGTCCGGGAGGTGGACACGGTGTTGGAGTAATGTTTGCGCAGGTTGCTCTCTAGTTTCTCGCTCGTGCTTTGCCTCCTCTTCTCGCTCTCTTTTGCGAATAAGTTAGCCACCATACTTGCTAGTCGCTTGCTGCAGCTCCACATATATTTACCTTGCCTTACCTATAAGCTTAAATAGTCTTGATCGCGAGGATGTGAGATTACTGAGTCCCTGTGGCTCACAGATTACTATTTCACCAGATGCAGGGCCTGATGATTCCGCTCTAGGAGACGCATATGAGCTCAAGTGGGAGTTCGACGAAGACTCTCAACGTTACTATGTTTCCTTTCCTGATGATCAGTAGTGGTGCCTAGTTGGGGGTGAACGGGACCGTGTTGCATGTTGGGTTATCTTTTATTTTGGCGCCGTAGTCGGGCCATGAGTGTTTGGATGATGTAATGTTATTTATGTACTTGATTGACATGGCGAGCGTAAGCCAACTATGTTATCTCCCCTTTATCATTTATATTACATGGGATGTTGTGAAGATTGCCTAACTTGCGACATATGCCTTCAATGCGATTATGTCTCTAAGTCGTGCCTCGACACGTGGGAGCTATAGTCGCATCGAGGGTGTTACAAGTTGTTCTGTAAGCTATGTTCTGCAGTCAACTGTGTATCAAATTGTTTTGATACCGTGAATATCCTTTTTTATGCTATCCATGCTTGCCTTTGATTTGCTTCCTATCATGCCGTTTAGCTCCTTTGGTCTACCAGTTTGCCTTTGCTAATTATAGTTGACACACAACACTGCTGTTGTTTGAGAAATGCCTTTCAATAATGTGCCTAACATAATTAACATACTATTTACATTGTCGTTGTGCCGTCACAAAACTCTGATTTGTTTTCTAGCTTGCTGTTGCACATATGTTGTGCTCGATCTGAACCCGTCGCTAATGAAGCATAATACATTTCTATGGTCCTGTATCTTTGGTAGTAAAATACTTCCGTGTATTTCTCTTGTTGTATAGATGACTTACCAGTCTACATATTCTAAATAGATGAAGCGTTATGTCACAATTAGGCCACGGGCTATGCTTAGTGCCGTTTTTGCTGAAGTTGATTTACCGGAGGTGAAATACAAGACCTGCTCATATTCCCGGGGCCGGGTGGTGGCTACTGCTATCTTCTGGCCATCGCGGTCGCATTCGTCAGCACCAGCACCACATATGAGGATCAGTGGCGACCCAGCTGTGGATGTCAACGAGGCCATACAAAATGCTGCTACCAGCTGCTTGGAACATCTTCAAACCACCATGGATATTAAGTTTGACTGCCCTCAGATGGAGAAAATTAAGACCAATATAAGCTACCTGTCCAACACTGTTGCCGAACAGTCCAGGAAGATCAGGAATCTGAAGGCTAAGGTGGAAAAAAGAAATCTCCGGGTCAGGGGCATTGCAAAGGGCTGGGGTCACTTGCAGATGACATGCTCGGTTCTGCAGGGCGTATTGACAAGGTGGCAGTCAACTACCTGCCTACAGGATCCTCTTCTGTTGTAGATGATGTGGCCTGGGATTGCTATCATCTTACTCAAGAAGCTGACAACCTTGCCTATCTGGCTGCCATGTGAACTGATGCAGTCAAGGGCGTTGGTGACTACCCATATGACACTGAGTCTGACTTTTCTGAATGTGACGAGTTTTATGGTTACTTCCCATCTGATCATGAGGGCCAAAATAGTGGTTACTACTCGTCGGACCTCGAGGGTGCTTGTGGTGCAAACTGCCTGTATGACGATTTCCTTAATGATGGATCCGACTGATACTTCGATCGTGTGAGAACGCGCAAGTTCTTTTGATTTATCGAGTAATATCAGCGTATCTGGCCATGTTGCCTCTACAGAGATGTTATAAAGTACTATGATGGCAACCTGCCCTACCCTTATTGTAAATTATGTATGGTCGGTCCTATGAGACAATCCTTGATGGTTGTATGATCGGTGCTACTAGACGGTCCACCCTATAGTTATTGTAAATTATGAACCAATTAAGCTGTAGCTCTGATGTTGGTCTTCTAATCTGTTCACCGTGCTATGTCTACTGCTTTGTTTCGTACACACATTATCTTCTACCCTCTGACTTTTGCCAAAGGCATTGATAATACACCATTGTGGACCTCTCCTATTCATTCGGCTTTAGCGGCGGCGCTATCCCCCTTTCCTGTAGCCAAGGCAAGTTCCTTTCTCTGCCTCCTTTGTCTCCCGATTAATTTCCTTCTGTTGGTTTGCTCCATGGTATGAGATTAATCTAAACGCATCGGCTGTTTTTCTATCTAAGGCCTCGAAGCTTTTCCCCGCGCCATGGCACCACACGCACGGAAGGAGCTGTTTTCCACCAGCGCAAGGAGCAGCGACCAGGGTCTTCGTTCAACGACGTCGTCGGCTGGCAATGTGAGCCGTTTTCTTTGGTCGGCTTTGCTACATGTGTGTTCTAAATTTGATATGGATCTTAGCATATTGTTCAATATTTTGGCTATGATAGTTGTGGTCGAACAGTCGTACGACCGCCCTCCATATAACTTATTAAGTACACGGTTGAAACCAGCACACCAGTCTTTTGTTGTAGCAAATGGTCTTTAGGCAATTTATTTGCTGGATTCTTGAGCTTACTGTGATATGGCCATGTACTTTGCCTTGCTGCTAACAATCAGAATATGGTTATTGGACAGACATAACTATGTGGTGATATTTGCTTACAACATATGCTGCCAGAAATGGTCTTATTCCAATTAGTTAGTTTGAGATTTTGTATGCTCTGCGTCAAACTAATGGAATTTATCTCTCCAATCATCTTAGAAAAAATAGGTGATATTGCGGATTCTCCATGCTCAAATGATTATGTCATCAGACCTACACAACAAGTAGCTAATTATTATAAGGTTATAATTGGTTCGTGCCGATGAAATCAAACTACATAATAAATTCACACTCATGTTTATTAGTTCCTGATTCCAATAGGTTTAAAAAAAATGTCCATGCATTTTAAAAAAAAATTCATGTGCTCCAACAAAAATTGTGATGTGTTTGCTTCATACTTCATTGAATTTTTTTGTAAAATGCTCGTGGGGATAAATAATGGCTCACTGTTAATCGGTGTCAGAATTTTGAATAAAGAAAACATACTTCTTATAAGTCGTGTGCTTTTAGTAAAGTGTTCACGTATTTTATAAATATTCATTGGCGTTTACAGGAACTATGATCATAAATATGTTCTTGTGATTTCACAAAAGAGTTCTAGCCATGTTAACTTATCTAGAAAATACAAACGTATGGAAGGACCGACGAAACAAAAGGCGGAATCAGACAAACTGATCAGATGTAACTTCTACCGCCACAACAAATAATAGCTTATTATCCTAGGTACAAGATATCTGCTTGCAAGAAATAGAAAAACACATATTAGTTTAGCATAGCCCCGGCCTTACCTGGTCCCTGGCCCATTAACAGCCCAATCGGTCGCTGGCATGCATAAGTCGAGGCCTCCAAAACGAAGAAACCACGCGGAACAGCTCGTCTCTCCCCGAACCCTATCGCTGCTTTCCTACTTCCTCCGACGCACAGGTGCGCCGCCGCCCCTCTTCCTCCCTCCCTCTCTTCTGCGCTGCCGACCCTCTCCAGCTATTCCGTGCCCCCGGACCATCTCCCTCGATCTCGCGCGCCGCTAGCCCATCTCCCTCTTTCTTGCGTTCTAGCTAGCTCTCCCTCGATCCATTTTCTAACCCCCTCGCTCGATCTTCAGGTTAGAAGGGGAAACAGTTGCAGGGTCTACGTGCTACCCCGGCGTGGCGGCAGAGCGAAGCACGGCCATCTCTCTTGAAGGTACAAACCCGTCTTCTTCTCCCCTTGTATATCTTTTTGTTCCAACTGTTGTTGTGTGCTACATCTTTTTGTTTAATTTGCTGTTGTCCAGCACATCTTTGCAATATGTGATAATGCGTAATAATTTTGGTAGCATGCATCAACTGTAGATGGTCAAGAAGATGAACTGTGTGCTGTCAAATGTGTTAACTATGTGCACTTTGTTGAAAACTGTATATCGTGTAGATGTACAAATATATTCAATGCATTCATTCCTCTATCTTTCGTTATCTATTTTCTCCCTGCCCCAATCTCACTCTTCTAGCTCAGACCCAGCAGACAGCGTATGGACGGCATGGGCGTTGGGGATGTTTGCGAGAATGGATCTCCAGGCTTGGCATCGTCAAGCACAACACCCTCTGAACCAAAGGTAACAAACTGAACCTCTGGTATAACTAATTGTTCCCATGCCCTGTCATGCTGACCGTCTTATTAATTCACTGGTACGCCTAAATATGCCTAGGAACCTCTACTTAACTACTGTTTCTTGGTGAATTAGAAACCCTGTCTGGCAGTAGGTGGTCAACTGTGCAGCGACTTTAGTCTTGCCTGTCATTTGGGGAAAAACTCGCTGTCATGTTTTATGACCAAGCAATTTAATCAACTATATATGATATACCTGCTCCGTTTTCATGTTTGTTCAATTCCATATCACTGCCTTTCAAAGGAAGAAAGGCCTTCTTGTCATATTTGAGCCTATGTGTGTGAGCTATGTTCAGAGAAGCTGCTCAAGGAATTGTCTAATTATTCTTTATGTTATAAGAATTGGCTACTCAAAAATGCTATTCATTTTTTAAAGACAGAAGCTGTAATTTATGTAGTAGAAACATGTTAGGGGGATATGTGCGAAGGAAGTAGTTTCCAGATATACTTTGTTTAGCTTGATGTTTTTATGTAATATATGTTGGCCGCATCTATTGCCTGCTAACGCCACTCCCTTGCAGTGTTCATGATTGTTGTAAAACAGCATGTCTTAATGAGACTAAAGTTATTAACCGATGTATTCTGTTTCTAATTGATTGGTTCATACTGATCGATAGGCAAACAAATTTAGTTTCACCAACAGAACTTAATACTTATTTTTCCCTGATTTATAACTCAATGCAATATATTGTGAGATTATCCCTTTGTTAAGCAAATATTATATCCTTTTATTTCCTTTGCAGGAAGATGGCCATGTAATACTGATTCCCCATTCCCACATCTTCGCCCTCATGCTGCAAGCTCTGAAGTTGCCGCCTGCGAATTACCATCATAAGACATATCCGGGCAACAACTCTCGTGTTACGGTTACTTTTAATTCATCATTACAGTTGATCGATGGTTTGCGTGTTCAAACCTCGATATCTGGTGTGATCTCAAACAACTATGATGAAGCAGAAGACAGTGCTGCTATCGCAGCAATTAGGTTTATGGAGAATGCATGTGGCAAGGAAATCAGGGACTATCACTTCACCCACGTACAAAGGCTGGAAAATCAAGTCACACTCCTAGAGCGGTACCTGGATGAAGCAAAAAAGAGAATCAAGAAGGTACGCAAAGGATGGTTCTATGCTGTCAGATACATGAGCTCGTATTCTACTCAGATACAAAATACGACAGCTGCTCGTCGCCTAAGAGGGCAGGACAGCACCAAAGGGGCGATGAAAACAGCACTCGCAAGCACAAGAAAGTTGGCAAAAAGACTACGTTGTATTGGCCTGAAATCGGAGCAGTGCCTAGAGACTACAGATAGTATCTGGTGAGCTCTGTTCGGCACATCGTACCCAGTATGTTTATGAACCATTGCCTTTGTAATGGAAAGTACCACCTGGTATCATGTAGCTCTTCTCACTTTGTTTTGAGCAAGGCACAGAGATTATGCTTCTATGAACTAACTTGTTGGCAGACTGCCCTTCCTTACTATAAATTATGCTTCTATGAACCAGCTTGGTATCGGACTACCGTCCCATGTTGTAAATTATGTATTATATATTATGAACGAGCTAAAGCAATGGTCGTGGTAATTTTTCTCTCATCTATTTTATTCATTGTTTCCTTGTTTTCTCATGTTATATATGTTCTGTGCTCCTCATTGTTTCATGTATTTATTGACAAATGGCCTTCGGGCAATTTATTTGTTATATACTATAACTTACAGTAATAAGACTGTCTAATTTGCCTTGGTAATAACAATCAGAATTTGGTTACTGGATACACATAACTGTATGTTGGGAATATGTTAATTGTGGTTTCTATGATTGTATGCTGACCTGCTTTTACCCGTTGCCGCCTCCTCAAGATCGATTAGTTGGAAAAATTTAAATCCGGGGCGAGTTTTCAAATATCAAATTCATGCTGTGGAGACATTTCTCTTACCGGCATCTACTAATTTCTATTACTCGTTTTTTATAGCATCTGATATTGACTTGGGTAGCTAGACAACTAAACTAGCAAGTAAAAAGCAGTTTTTTAGGCAGTACAATTAGGGCAGTTGAGATACTTATAAAAAAATTATATGCAATAAAGAGCAGTTTTCTTTGGGCAATATAATAAGAGGCAGCTAATGAAAGTGTGTTATATCGACTAGAGGGGGTGAATAGGCGATTTTTATGAAAGTCTTCAAAACGTGGAAGTTATGAAGACAAACGATCGAAATAAACCTATTACCCTGCAGCGGAAGGTAGACTACACTAGGCAAGCCATAGTCAAGTATTCAATAGAGTGAAAGCACAATGACTAATAGCAGCAATGTAGTAAGGATCAGGTAGGAAGATATTGTGAAGCCACACAGAACACGCAGTCACTCAGTGAAGACAAAAGATAGTGCGAACATACAATGACTTCACAAGGAGTAACAGTAAGTAAAGGAAGGGAAGATGAAACCAGTGACTCGTTGAAGACAATGATTTGTTGGACCAGTTCCAGTTGCTGTGACAACTGTACGTCTGGTTAGGGCGGTTAGGTATTTAAACCTTAGGACACACAGTCCCGAACACCCAGTCCTGAACACGCAGCTCAGGACACCCAATCCTCACCGTATTCCCCTTGAGCTAAGGTCACACAGACCTTGCCCAATCACTCTGGTAAGTCTTTAAGGTAGACTCCCAAACCTTCACAGACTTCGTTCACCGGCAATCCACAATGTCTCTTGGATGCTCAGAACGCGACGCCTAACCGGCTGGAGGATGCACAGTCTTCAAGTGTAATAAGTCTTCAGATCACACAGACAAGAAGACTTAAGTGATGCCTAATTCTCTTTGGCTCTGGATGGTTAGGGCTTTATCCTCGCAAGGAATTCTCTCTCAAAGGCTTCGAGGTGGGTTGCTCTCAAACGACAAAAGCCGTACTTTGAATCTGAGTAGCCAACCGTTTATGGTTGTAGGGGGTGGGCTATTTATAGCCACTTGGTAACCCGACCTGATTTGTCCGAAATGACCCTGGGTCACTAAGGAACTAACACGTGTTTCAACGGTCAGATTTCAAACTCACACGACAACTTTACTTAGGCTTCAAGCAAAGCTGACTTGCCCGACTCTGGACAAGATTCGCTCTCAAAGTCTTCACTCGAAGACATAGGTTTTGTTTAAGCATCACTTCAGTCATTCTGACTGGTTCTCTTGGACCCCACTTAACAGTACGGTGGTTCCTATGACTCAACACAGAAGAAAGAGAACTATGAAAGATCTAAGTTTTCGAGCTCCATAGGCTTCATGTGGTGTCTTCTCTTGTCATAGTCTTCAATGTGAATATCTTCATATACCACCTTTGACTTCAATGTCTTCATACATTTTTAGGGGTCATCTCTGGTAGGAAAACCGAATCAATGAGGGACTTCTACCTGTGTTATCCTGCAATTCTCACAAACACATTAGTCTCTCAACTAGGTTTGTCGTCAATACTCCAAAACCAACTAGGGGTGGCACTAGATGCACTTACCGAAAAAGGCTCGCGCCCCGCTTTATATATAAAGCAAATGCCAAAGCCAACATCCAACAAGGTTCACACAAACACAAAGCCCACACGCACACAAAGTCCAAGCACAAGCAAGCAACAAGGGTTACAACTGAGGGCACAGCTCAACAAGCCCAACACACACACACACACACACACAAAGGCACAAGCGCCAGGAGGGAAACATCCTCTAGTCGGGCTCCGGTGGTGGCGGCGGGAGCGGAGGCGCCAGGCAAAAGGCCAACGAATGGAGGTCGGTGAGGAGTCTGTCGATGGCGTCCCGGTCCTGCGGGCGGCTAAGCGGCCGCCAAAGCTGCAAGTAACCACACATTTTAAAGATGGAGTCAGTCGCACGCCGAAGGGGCACCTTCTGAATGACAAGCTTATTGCGAACCGTCCACAGGGTCCAGGCTAGAACCCCGACGCACAGCCATCTAATATGTCTGTAGCGAGGGGGGGAGGCTTGAATTTCCGCAAGCAGGTCAGGGAAGTTGGTGTTGCACCACTGTCCCCCAACCGTTTCGCGGAAACAAGACCAAAGGAACTGTGCCGTGTAGCACAGGAAGAAGATGTGATTAGCGTCCTCTACCATGCCACACAGGGGGCACATTCCATCGCCAGGACCATGGCGCTTAAGAACCTCAACGCCGGTCGGGAGGCGGCCGCGGATCCATTGCCAAAGAAAGATCCGAATCTTAAGTGGGAGGCGGATGTCCCAGATAAGACCAAAGGGCTCCGGGGCTGACGAAGGGGCAATGGCCGCGTAGAGGGATTTGGTGGAGAAGCGTCCGGAGGGGTCTAGGCGCCAGGAGATGGAGTCCGGAGAATCTGCCACGTCCATAGGTAGCAGGGCGATGTCCTGGAGGAGGACATCCCAGGCAGCCACCTCAGCGGGGCCAAAAGGGCGGCGGAACGCGAGGCGCCCTAAGTCAATAAGGGCCGCCTCGACTGAGACCCGAGGGTCAACTACAATGTCGAAGAGGATGGGGAACCGGGCGGCTAGAGGGGAGCCTCCGAGCCACCTGTCCAGCCAGAACAAGGTCGAAGCTCCAGAGCCCACAGAGATGGAAGTGCCTATACGTAAGACCGGAAGCAGCCGGATGACAGCCTGCCAAAACTGGGAACCGCCCGAGCGTTGGCAGAACGCCAGTGGCTGTCCACGCAGGTACTTGTTCTGGATGATAGTAAGCCAGAGGCCACCGTCCCCATTGGCGATGCGCCAGAGCCAGCGGGTCAAGAGGGCGATGTTCATGCGCCGAGAGGACAGAATCCCAAGACCGCCCTGGTCTTTGGGTTTGCAGATGTCTGGCCAGCTGACCATCTGGACTGGTATTTGGCGACCTCCTAATGGAGCGTTTCATGAAGGCTATAGAAGCTCATAAGGAACCACAGGAGGCTGGCTAGCGATGAGTTGATAAGGATCACGCGCGCCGCCTTCGATAGCCAACGCCCTTTCCAGGGCTCTACGCGATGTTGCATATGGGTCACCGTGGGGCGGAGGTCCGCCACGGTGAGGCGCGAGTCACTAATGGGGATCCCCAAATAGGTCGTGGGGAAAGAACCCAGCCGACAGTTAAGCCGGTCGGCAATGGACTGTGCGTCCTCAGAGGGGTAACCGAGCACCATCACTTCGCTCTTATCAAAGTTGATGGTGAGGCCCGACATTTGTTGGAAGCACAGAAGAAGGAACTTCAGGTTGGAGATCTCTAAGGCATACCCCTCGACCATAATAATGGTGTCATCTGCGTATTGTAGAAGGGAGACCCCTCCCCCTCCAACAAGGTGCGGGACAAGGCCTCTAATATGCCCAGCAGCCTTGGCCTTATCCAAGATGGCGGCCAAGGCATCCACAACCATGTTGAACAAGAACGGCGAGAAGGGATCTCCCTGCCGGACCCCGCAGAGGGTAGGGAAGAAGGGCCCAATGTCGCCGTTGATGTTCACCGCAGTCCGACCACAAGAGACGAGCTGCATGACTCGGGTTACCCAACGGTCATCGAAGCCCTTGCGAAGAAGGAATTCCCTCAGGAACGGCCAGTGCACCGTGTCGTAGGCTTTGTGGAAGTCCAACTTGAGAAAGATCGCCCTATGGCGCTTCAGGCGGACCTCGTGGAGCACTTCGTGGAACACCAACACCCCATCCAGGATAAATCGGCCTTGAATGAAGGCGGATTGGTTCGGGTGGGTGATAGTGTTCGCAAGGAGGGTCACCCTATTGGCGTACCCCTTAGCCAGGATCCGAAAAATCACATTAATCACTGTGATGGGGCGGAACTGACGAATATCGGAGGCGCCCGGGACCTTGGGGATGAGGGTTACCACCCCATAATTAAGGCGACCCAGGTCCATGGAGCCCGAGTAGAATTCCTCAAAGAGAGCCATGACCTCCAACTTGATGGACGGCCAGAACGTCTTGAAGAAAGCCACTGGAAGACCGTCAGGTCCCGGGGCCGAGGAGGGGTTCATCCCCTTAATGGCAGCGAGGACCTCCTCCTCGCTGAAGGGGGCAACCAAAGCCGCATTGGCTTCAGCCGAGACTACGTGCGCGCCCGACCAAATGTCGGGGGCGAGACTAGCCCCACCGCGCGGGGTGGGGGTAAATAAGGCCCTATAGAAGCCATCCACATGACAGCGGATGGCCGCTGGAAGAACTAACGGTGAGTCTCCATCCCACAGGCAGTGGATGGAGTTGCGACGGCGCCGGCCGTTCGCGACCGCCTGGAAATAGGCGGTGTTGGCATCGCCCTGTAGCACCCACCTCTGGGTACCACGCAAGCGCCAGTACGCCTCCTCATCCGTGTAGATGGTGGAG